TAAATCAATTATCATCTCTGAATTCTGTATGTATCCATATGGTCCACAAGCTAGAAGAAAGGTTGAATATATTAAATAGGGACATGGAATGTGGCACAGATCCACTTTGAATTTTTAGATCTAGAAAAAACAATGTCAGAGATTAGTGAATTGGAAAAAAAAACAAGGTTAGAAAATAGTCCAAGTAAAACATGAAGTGGAAAAGAAGACTGAAAAACAGTGAACACTGGGAGAAATCAAGTAGCCTCATGTAAGTATAATTGGAGTATGAAAGGAAGCTGAGAAAGACTGAAGGAAGTCAGAAAAAAATTTGAAGGAATGATGACTGACATTCTTCCAAATCTGAGGAAAATTATAGTCAGATCCAACCTCTTCATTAGAGGTTGGAGATACTGAGAGACTCACCTATTAATGTTTCTTAAATGGTCAGTGGTAGATTAAGGATATTTATAACCATGTCTGCTATTCCAAGCAACCTCCATCATATCATATAATCTATTATATTTGTTTGCCTATTTTTTTATTATACTTTATTATACTTCTGGGATACATGTGCAGAATGTGCAGGTTTGTTACACAGGTATACATGTGCCATGGTGGTTAGCTGCACCCATCAACCTGTCACCTGCATTAGGATATTTTTCTAATACTTTCCCTTCTGTGGTCCCCCAATTCCAGGGAGACCCTGATGTGTGATGTTCCCTTCCCTGTGTCCATGTGCTCTTATTTTCAACTCCCACTTATGAGTGAGAATATGCCGTGTTTGGTTTTCTGATCCTGTGTTAGTTTGCTGAGAATGATGGTTTCTAGCTTCATCCATGTCCCTGCAAAGGACATGAAATCATCCTTTTTTATGGCTACATAATATTCCATGGTATATGTGTGCCACATTTTCTTTATTTAGTCTATCATTGATGAGCATTTGGGTTTGTTCTAAGTCTATTATCTAAAATTGGTATTATGTCACAAGAAATTATCTTTCATTGTGAACCAGATTTAATCTATATGTTTTACTCCATCTTTCTAATTTTTTAAAAAAAGAGTCTAAGTGGGAGAACAGTGGATTTTTATATAAAAAGTAATAAGGTAGAGAATTTCATAATTTTTTCCTATAAGACAGCAATATATATTTTACAGTAATTGTTGGCATCATTAATTGTTAATTGTTGGCATCATTGTTAATTATGAATTGTTGGCATCATCCATCATTCAAGAAAAGAAGCCTTTTAAGCAACCTAGAATAGTTTTTAAGTCCATGGACTCTGGACCCAGATTACTCCAAATTCAAATCTGACCTCCCCAACTTAACTGAGTAATGTTAACAATGTCACTTATCCTTTCTCTTGAATTAGTTTTCTCATCAAGGGGATAATATTGTCTACTTTATTGAGTTGATATAAGAATCGAATATTTCTAAAATGATAAATACATTGTCTCACTCATAGCAAGCACATATATAGGACTGATAAATGATAACCAAATGACTTGAAATCCTATTTAATGTTCCCAATTTTTCCCCTTCAATATATTCTTTATATGTTTTGTCTTCTCTTTTTTCTTCTATGTATCTGTCTGCTTTTGCAAATTACTTTACTATAGAAATCTTTATTATTTGGCTGGTCATGGTGGCTCATGTCTATAATCCCAGCACTTTTGGAGACTGAGACAGGCAGATCACCTGAGGTCGGGAGATCAAGACCAGCTTGGCCAACATGATGAAATCCCATCTCTACTAAAAATACAAAAAAATTAGCTGGGAAAGGTGGTGGGTGCCTGTAATCCCAGCTACTCAGGAGGCTGAGTCAAGATAATTACTAGAACCTGGGAGGGAGAGGTTGCAGTGAGCTGAGATCACACCACAGCACTCCAGCCTTGGCAGCAGAATGAGACTGTCTCGAAAACAAAAGAGAAATCATTATTATTTTAGAAAATTAAGTAACTATACCCTTATTTTAATGAATATATCTATTCTGTAGAGAATATGCTGTATCATGCCTTTTTATTTAGCCTTTTATAATTGGTATTTTATATATTACATTTAACTCATTTGGAATAATTAATATTAGCTTGCTTTGAGTATTTTACATTATGAACAATGCTGAAATAAGTGCACTTATGATATGTGTATATACATATTTTTTGCTCAAAGGTCTTCCTATCCTTTATCAGGCAATGCATCCACTCCAAACACATTCTAATGCCCTTTTCCAAAGTAAACTTTCTCTCAACCATGCTAGTCTTCTGGCTACACTTTTTCTTCCCTGCTTTTCTCCTACTATCTCAAAAGTGTCCTATATGCTCTACATGTTCTTTGTCATCACTAATCTACTTCACATACTTTTTTATAAACCGAGACCTTATTATATCTACTTCTAGTCTATTGAAATGGTGCTATGAAACATCAAAAACACCATATTGGTGACATCTTCAACTCTGCAGTACATATAACTGCTGACTAAAAACTCATCACCCCTTTATTGAAATTCTGTTCCCTTAGATTTTATGATTAAAAATTTTTCCCCATTGTAAGTGACTGAAAACTGAAAAACTCAAGATGATTTGAGTAACAAGTGAAATGTATCTGCTTACATAATTAAACATATAGATTATATGGCTCCAGATGCCAGTGAACACAGGGCTTAAGTGGTAATAGGGAATGATCCCCTCAGTCTATATTTTGGCCTCGTTCAAGAGGAATATTCCTTTGTGGTGGTAAGTTATGTAACAGTAGCTCCCACATGTATGCCTTGTCCTCCTGGAAATTCCAAAACAAGAAGATTCTCTTTCCCTATCACTTCACTAAGTTTCCAGAACAGTCTCATCAGCCGCTTTCACTCACATGTATAGCTCTAAAACAAGTGTGATGCCTAAGAATATGAAAAATCAGGTCCTAAAACTATCTGATTCAAAGTGTCATAAGCCAAAATCAGCATTTCCTCTAGAGTCTGTTATTCTTTCAACAAAATTATCTTAGTCACCAGTTTTGTTGTCTCCTCTTTAACACACATGCAGAATCAACTGATTCACACATTTTGATGATTCTAAATGAATAGTGAGATGGATAGCATTAAAGATAGAGATAGGTATGTATTTTAAAAATATGTTACCTTTATTCCATTTCAATTTCCTACTCACTGTTCCAAGTTCCATACCTCTCATCAGGAATACTACACTGTTCTCTTGATGAGTCTTCTTGACACTTTCTCCTACCATGCATTTCTGCTGCTATGCTCCTCCTGACACACCATTTTAAACAAGTCACTCCCACTACTTGCAAATCTTCAAAGGCTTCTCATTGTCTTTCAAAGTCTAACTAACTTAGCCTGGCATTTAGATCCTTAATAATGTGGCCTTAAGTAATTTTCCCATATTCTATCACAATCTCCAGGGTCCCACTTATGGCTTTTCTGTGAAGTTGCCTTTCTTCTAATGCAAATTAAAACAAAGATCCTTCAAGTGACCTTTAAGAAGCCACTGGATCTTTGAGTGCCTTCATTGTATCATTGTGAGAAAAAAGAAAAATGTAGCTCCACATATTGTTTGTTGGATTGTATTGTTGAATTGCTTACTGCAAAGAACGCTGGGCTTCTCAGATTAAATGCATTCTGTGAGTGCAGAGCTTTGTGTCTACTGAGCCAAAGAGAGCTTAGGGTTAATAACTTCTAGAGATTCCTAATTGAAAAATCTGGGTCTCCTTTAGCAGACAGCATTCATTGTTGTGTTTTAATTTACTACATGGAATTGAACTTTTATTCTTTACCTTTGAAGTGCCTTTACAAGTTTAATGCCACCAGATTGTGTTATCCATTTAGATAGGTATATTTTCATTAAAAATCATGTACAGTTTAATCAATCCTCTTTAGCAAGCTCTGAATTGTCTTGTGATATTGATTGCAATATATCTAAACAAATCCCTTGGGAAGAGATCGAAAACCAACTGGGGCTTTTGTGTTATTCCTTTTCTAAAGAAGCTCTAGTTTTCCAGCTTTGCTTTTTCAGTGAGGTTGGCAATGTTTCCAAGCTTACTTCCTAAAATAAACTATAGCATGAACCCAGAAACAGCATATTTTATTTATACACAGAAAACTTTCTTTATTTCATTATGTAGAGTTTTAAGCCATAGCTTTCCTGGACCTGAGGATGGGGGTTGTGCCCTCCAAGGGGACATTTTTGCTCTGTACAGACAATGATTCCTAACTGACTGCGAGGCCAATACTCCTGTTAGCATGCTTCATTGCCTTTGTTGTGTCACAGAATCTCACATTACTGTAACCTCACCTTACAGAGCTCAGTATGATCTTGGCAACTGTCTATTGGAACAAGACTTCTGTGGACTTGTGACAACATTTTCTCAGATACCTGTGACTCATATTCCAGGAAACTTTCTTTGTATCTGTATTTCTCATATTTCCAGAGTGGAAATCCTATCTGGTCAAGGCTGATTGGTCTCACCTCTCTAAGTACCCCTCCCACTTTACCTCCCACTTACTAATAATAAACACTATGTTTCAAGAAATATTACTAGAACCAAATACAAAAAACCCTGTATGTCTCTTAAAATACTTTTCTCATGTGTTTTCTCCACATGCTGCACCTTGCATTTTCTTTTCTGCTCAGTTTCTACCCATTCTTCGAGGTCGGCCAATGCAACAGAATCCTCCTCTGAACTCATGGCACTTTGGCACTTAATATAACCCTTTGCACCTTTACATATAGTACCTTCCATTTTAAGTCCTTTATTCATACAAGTATGTCTTATCTCTTTAATGGGATTATAAACTCCTTGGGGACTAAAGAGGCTTCTAATTACACTGTTAATCACCAAGATTGATTTTATATATCCTACTGCTTAATTTCCAGTGATGAAGATTAATGTATAATGCATTTCTCTCTTAGTACATGACCATCCAATCCATTCTCCTCTTAACTATTATTTAGCAATGTACAGACATATAATTTTAAAAATATAATGAAAACTAAAGTATTATATTTTTAAAGATATTAGTCCAACATGTCACTGCAATATTGTGCTTTGTTTAAATAATAATTAGAACACAGAAAGTCATTTTCTCTTTCATACTTTGCTATTGCTAACTTTTTATTCATAATAGTCTTTTGTCATTGAACTTTATTTATTCTTATATTCAATCAATTGAAAAATATGTATTTATCTCTGGCATCAATACTAGTTCTTGACTGGTCATTTATGCTACATGATGTTTATACCACTAGATGAGATTTTTTTCCTTCTCTCTCTCTCTCTCTCTCTGCAACATATAATCTGATTCTAAATATTTAACTTGGGTTATGAAAAGGCACATAATACAAGTAGACAAAATTCTTCATATTGTCTAAACTGGGAGCTGTTACTTTTTCAACTTCATATATAATTTCTTAACATAATTCTAGGCACGAATAAAAACAGAGATTATTATGAAATTAGAGCTTAAAATTGTGTGGTTAGGGCATTTTAAATTAATGTCTTAAAAATGATTAATAAGAGTGAAATTTGTTATTATTTTTACTATTGTTGTCAGATAACACATGGATGTATTAGGTTTCACTCGGGAAACAGAACCAGTAGGATGGAGAGAGAGAGAGAGAGACAGAAAGAGAGAAACAGAAAGAGAGAGAGAGAGAGATTTATTATGGAAATTGGTTCATGTCATTATGAAAACTTCCCTGATACATCCTTTGTAAGCCGGTAAATCAGGGAAGCCAGTAGTGTGGCTCATACCCGAGATGGAGGGCCACAGAGGGTGAGGACAGCCATGCAAGTCTTGAAGTATGAAGGCCAGAGAACCTGGATATCTGATGTTGAAAACAGAGAAAATATATTTTCAAGCTCCAAAAGAGAGAAATTTTACCTTTTCTCTGACTTTCTGTTCTGTTTCGGCCCTCAGTTGATTGGGTGAGGGTGGGTCTTTTTCAGCCCACTGACTCAAATGCCAATTTCTTTCAGAAATAGCCTTCTAGATATAACCAAACATAATGTTTTACCAGCTATCTGGGTATCCTTTAGTGACATGAAGCTGATCCCTAAAATTAACTGTCACAATGGGAGAGGGATTAATACCACAGGCTATGAAAACAAATCACATAGAATTGGAGGCCGGCTCCACCAATATTTGTTATATAACATTGATTACATTAAATTTTATAAACTTCTGTTTGTGTCCTCTCTGATTTCGTTGAGCAGTGGTTTGTAGTTCTCCTTGAAGAGGTCCCTTATGTTCCTTGTGAGTTGTATACCAAGGTATTTTATTCTTTTTGCAGCAATTGTGAATGGCAGTTCTGTTTCTTCGTCTCTAAAATAAGACAATACACAACACAGAATTATAATAATTAAATGAGGACACATATTAAGGTTCTGCAGAGTATTTTGTACATTTTAAGAACACAGTAAGTATTACTTATTTACTTACCTGTCTTTACTCATTGAATTTATACAGCCCACTAGGACCCTCAGGTTACATGAAATAAACTGTAACTTATTAAATGTAGATAGCTCACCGAGAGTAGCATGGCACAATCCAGACTTAATCCTGGGCATTGTAATTTCAAGTCATATGCTGTTTCTACATTGATCATATCCCCTCATGATTTATAATTGCTTGCCAAAAGGAGGATATAGATGAGATATTTTATAAGCTTTAGGGCAAGTTCTTGGTTTCTTGGTTTCTATCTTCTAAATAAAGAGCAGAAGAAGTAAGAAAATACTTGACCTTCTCAGGAAATAACAAAAGGTTCTAGAAATATCTGACAGTCTGTATCTTGTCTGCTTTAACTTTGAATATATATAAATCTAAGAATGCAGTTTAAAAGGAACTATAAAACTCTATAAACTTTATACATGTGAGGTCACGTGTTACATGCCTAGCCTAATTTGAGGCCTTTCTCTGAAGCAATGGTTTTCAAAATTCCAGTAATATAATATTACCAGTTTTATTACATTAACATGATATATTATTGTTAACATACTTCCTGGGTTGCCATAACAGAATATCACAGACTGGGTAGTTTAAACACAGAAATGTATTTTCTCATAGTTCTGGAGACTGGAAGTCTGTGATGTAGGTGCCAGCCCTTTTTTCTGCTGAAGTCTCTATTCCTGGCTTGCAGGTGGCCACTCACTCATTGTGTTCTCATCTGACCTTTCCTCTGTGTGGGCACACTCCTTATGTGCCTTTCTTTCACTGTAAGGATACCAGTCCTGTTAGATTAGAAATTCACACATATAATCTCACTTAAATTTATTTAGCTCCTTAAATCACCTATCTCCAAATGCAGTCACATTAAGAGTTAGAGTTTCAACATAAGTGAATCCATGAGTTGAAGCAACAGATTTTTTTTGTTTCAGTAGTAGTTGTTACAAATATATAGCAGTATCTGTATATCTAATAAATCAAATTACACTGGCTGCTGTGATACATGATCCTAATTATTTGTTAATGACTGAAAGTTATATTCTACACACCCTTGGAAGATGGTGCTTCCAATGGACAGTTTGAGCTATCAACCCTCTTAAGAAATAGCCCTTGACTTGAAACAGCTGCTTCATCAATGTTATCTTCCATTCTCCTAGGATATCTTACATGCAGTGACTGGTCTACCCTAGTATAAGAAGGCCCATTCTATTCTCAGCAGAGTGCAGGACAACTTTGAAGAGCCATTACAGCTGCCTAGCTCCTTGCGGTGGGCTGAAATCATCATTGTGACTGTATCTCACCCAACATCCCACTCTGCCTAATCCTGTTCCCTTCCTTCACCTTTGCAAGAGCATGGCTGGGGAACCCAAACTGCAATAGCAACAGATAATCTTTGTAGCACTGTTAAAAGCATTCAGTAATAAGGCACAATAGGTAAAAGCCATATTTTCCCCAACAACAGTATAGATAAATGTTTTCAAAATTGTAAGCCATAAAATCATTTTAATGGGACATGATTAACTTTTTAAAGGCAAGAAAATTATCAACAAAGAAACTCTGGACTTAAAATGGACTCCAGACAAAAGGGACCTAGTACACATATACAGATCATTGTACCCCAAAACTGCAGAACATACAATTTTCATCTGCACATGAAACATTCTCCAAAACAGACTGTATGCTTGACCATGAAGCAAATATAAATAAATTCAAAAAAAACAAAATTATTAAGTATTTTTCTCATACCACAGTGTAATGAACCTAGAAATCAATACCAATAGCAGTTCTTAAAATGATACTAATACATGGAAATTAAACAACGTGCTCCTGAATGATTTTTGGGTAAACAATACAATTAAGATAGAAATAAAAATAATAAAACAAATGAAAATACAGACATAACATACCAAAAACCTCTGGGATACAGCGAAAGCAATGCTAAGGGGACATTTATAGCATTCAATGCCTACATTAAAAGAATAGAAAGATCACATGATAACAATCTAACGTGGAATTTCAGGGAACTACAAAAACCATAACAAACCAAACCAAAACTAGCAGAAGAAAAGAAATAAAGATCAAAGTGGATAAAACTAAAGGAAATTGAGAGAAAATAAAGAATACAACAAACCAATGAAACAAAATATTAGTTACTTGAAAAGATAAACAAAACTAATTGATTACTAGCTAGATTAACCAAGAAAAAAGAGAGGAGATTCACATAAGCACAAGCAGAAAGGAAAAAGGAGACATTACAAATGATACCACCAAAATACAAAAGATTCTCTGAGAGACTACTATGATATTATGAGCATCTCTAAACTCACAAACTAGAAAATCTAGAGAAAATGCATAAACTCTTAGAAACATACCACCTCCTGATAATTAACCAAAAGGAAATAAAAATCCTGAATAGACCAATAGAGAGTAGTGAGATTGAACAGGTAATTAAAAATCTCCCAAGAAAAAGATCCCAGGACCAAACAAATTCACATCTAAACCCTAACAGACATACAAGAAGAATTGGTACCAATTCTACTAAAACTATTCCAAAAAATTAAGGAGAAGGGATTCATCCTTAATTCATTCTAGAAAACCTGTATCTCTCTGATACCAAAACCAGACAAGGAAACAAAAAAAAAAAAAAAATGAAAACTACAGACCAATATCCCTGGTAAATATAGAGAAAAAATCCTCAACAACATACTAGCAAACAGAATCCAACAGCACACCAAACAGATAGTAAACCATTATCAAGTAGGTTTTATTCCAGGGATGCAAAGATGGTTCAACATACACATATCAATAAATGAGTTCACCACATAAAAATAATTAAAAACAAAAGTCATCTGTTCATCTCAATAGATAAAGAAAGCCTAGGATTTCTTCATGGTTAAAAAAAAAACCCTCAACAAACTAGGCGTAGAAGGAATGTACCTCAAAATAATAAAAGCCCTATGTGACAGACCCACAGGCAACTTCATACTGAATGGGAAAAAGGTAAAATATTCTCCCTAAGAACTGGAACAGCCAAGCATGCCTACTTTCACTATTCCTGTTTACCATCGTACTGGAAATTTTAGAGCAATCAGGAAAGAGAAAGCAATAAAAGGCATCCAAATGGAAAAAGAGGAACACAAATTGTCTTTGTTAGTTGATTACACAATATTATACTGAGAACACCCTAATGATTCCTCCAAAAGACATGCAGATTTGATAAATGACTTTAGTAAAGTTTCAGGATACAAAATCAATAGCATTTCTACACACCAATAACATTCAAGCAGAGAACCAAATCAAAAACTCAATCCCATGTAATCTCACTATATCCCAATAGCTACAAAAATAAAATAAAATACCTAGGAATACATTTAACCTAAGAGGTGAAAGAGAACTACAAGAAGAACCAGAAAACACTGATGAAAAAATCGAGAATAACACAAACAAATGGTAAAACATCCTATGCTCATGGATTGAAAGAATCAATATCATTAAAATAACTATACTACACAAAACATTACACAGATTTAATGCAATTCATATAAAACTACCAAAATTACTTATCATGGAATTAGAAAAAAAAAATCCTAAAATTCATAGGGAGCCAGAATGAAGCCTGAATAGCCAAAGCAATTCTAAACAAAAACAAAAAGGTGGAGGCATAATATTACATAACTTCAAAGTGCTAGTAACCAAAACAGCATGGTACAGGTATAAAAATAGATACATAGATCAATAGAAAAGAATAGAGGGCACAAAAATAAAGCCACATATGTACAATCAATTGATCTTAGACAAAGTTGACAAAAATATATAGTGGGGAAAGGATACCCTCTTCAATAAATGGTGCTGAAAAAATTGGACAGCCTTATGTAGATGAATAAAACTGAACCCTGATCTCTCAACAGATACAAAAATGTTATACAAGGCAGGTTAAAGTCTAAATGTAACACCTGAGACTGTAAAGAAAGAATGAAATCAAGTATTTTACAGCAATTTGAATGGAACTACAGGCCACTATTCTAAGTGAAATAAGTCAGAAATAGAAACTTATATACCACATGTTCTCATTTATAAGAGCTAAACAATGGATAATATGTATATACAGAGGGGAATAATAAACAGTGGAAAGTCATAAAGTGGGAAGTTTTAGAAGGCAGTAAGGGTTGAAAAATTATCTATTGAGTATAAGATAACTGTATAAGAAAATCTAGAAAAAACTCTTCAAAACATTGGCCTAGCCAAAGAATTTATGCTAAGACCTCAAAAGTAAATATAACAAAAACAAAGAGATTAATGAAACATAATTAAACTAAAAAGTTTCTGTAAAGGAAAAGAATAAACAGCATAGTAAAAAGACAACATACGGAATGGGAAAAAAATTTTGCAAGCTATGCATTAGACAAAGGACTAATATCTAGAATCTACAAGGAACTCGAACAACTCAACAAGAAAAAAACAAATCACCTCATTAAAAAATGAGCAAAGGACATGAACAGACATTTTTCAAAAAGAGACTTATGAATGGCCAAAAACATATGAAGAAGATACCCAGTATCACTAGTCATCAGAGAAATGCTAATTAAAACTACAGTGAGCTTGGGTGTGGTCACTCATGCCTGTAATTTCGGCACTTGGGAGGCTGAGGTGGGAGGACTGTTTGAGCCAAGGAGTTCAAGACCAGCCTGGGCAATATGGCAAAACACTGTCTCTATAAAAAATACAAAAATTAGCTGGGTGTGGTGTCACATGCCTGCAGTTGCAGCTTCTTGGGAGGCTGAGGTGGGAGGATTGCTTGAGCCCAGAAGGTGAAGGTTTCAGTGAGTTGAGATGCCATAATTACACTCCAATATGTGCAACAAAGTCAGACCTAGTCTCAA